AGCCAAATTCTTTTTTCTTTCTTTTTTTTTTTCTGAGACAGTCTTGCTCTGTCTCCCAGGCTGGAGTGCAGTGGCACCATCTCAGCTCACTGAAACCTCCGGCTCCCAGGTTCAAGCAATTCTCCTGCCCCAGCCTCTCGAGTAGCTGGGATTGCAGGCGCCTGCCACCACGCCCAGCTAATCTTTTTGTTTTTTAGTAGAGACAGGGTTTCACCATGTTGGCTAGGCTGGTCTCAAACTCCTGATCTCAGGTGATCCACCCGCCTCGGCCTCCCAAAGGACTGGGATTACAGGCGGGAGCTACCATGCCTGGCCTCTTTTTTTAATTTTAATAGTTTTAGCGGTACAAGTGGTTTTTGGTTACATGAATAAATTCTGTATTGGTGAATTCTCAGATTTTAGTGCACCCGTCACCCAGGTGTAGTATACACTGTCCCCAATATGTTGTCTTTTGTCCCTCACCTCCTTCCTACTCTCCCCCTACACTCTTCTTCCCAAAGTCCACGGTATCACTCCAAAGCTTAGCTCCACTTACAAGTGAGAACATACAGTACTTGGTTTTCCATGACTGAGTTACTTCACTTAAAATAATGGCCTCCAGCTCCATCCAACTTGCTGCCAAATACCTTGTTCTTTATGCCTGAGTAGTATTCCATGTTGTATATACACCGCATTCTTTATCCATTCATTGGCTGATGGACACTTAGCTTTGTTCCATATCTTTGTAATTGTGAATTGTGCTGCCTATAAACATGTGTGTATGTACGTTTTTCATATAACTTTTTTTCCTTTGGGTAGATAGCCAGTAGTGGAGTTGCTGGATTGAATGGTGGATGGTAGATCTACTACTTTTAGTTAAGGAATCTCTTACCGTTTCCCGTAGAGGTTGTGCTATTTTACATTCCCACCAGCGGTGTGAAAGTGTTGTTCCCTTTTCACCACATCCGCACCACCATCTATTGTTTTTTGACTTTTTACACCTGATCTTAGCCAAAAGGCTGAGAAGCAATGTTTTTTGACTTTTTACTTACAGCCATTCTTGCAGGATAAGGTGATATCATTGTGGTTTTAATTTGCATTTCCCTGATAATTAGTCATGTTGAGCATTTGCTCATGTTCGTTGGCTGTTTGTATATCTTCTTTTGAGAATTGTCTATTCATGTCCTTTGCCCACTTTTTGATGGACTTTTTTTGTTTATTTTTACTTGCTGATTTGAGTTCCTTGTAGATTCTGGATACTAGTCCTTTGTCGGATGCGTGGTTTGCAAATATTTTCTCGCATTCTGTGAGTTGCCTGTTTACTCTGCTGATTACTTCTTTTTGCTGTGCAGAAGCTTTTCCGTTTAATTAGGTCCCATATTTTAATTTCTGGTTTTGTTGCTCTTACTTTTGGGGTCTTAGTCATGAATTCTTTACCTAGGCCAATGTCCAGAAGAGTTTCTCCAATGTTATCTTCTAGAATTTGTATGGTTTCTGGTTTCAGATTTAAGTCTTTTATCCACCTTGAGTTGTTTTTTATATAAGGTGAGAGATGGGTATCCAGCTTTGTTCTTCTACATGTGGCTGGCCAGTTTCCTGGCACCATTGATTGAATACAGTGTTCTTTCCCATTTATCTTTTTGTGTGCTACGCAGAATATCAGTTGGCTGTATTTGGCTTATACTTCTGGGTTCTATCGCTCAGGCTGGAGTGCAGTGATGTGATCTCTGCTCACTGCAACCTCTACGTCCCGTGTTCAAGTGATTCACCTGCCTCAGCCTTCCGAGTAGCTGGGACTAGAGGTGCATGCCACTACACCTGGCTAATTTTTGTATTTTTAGTAGAGATGTGGTTTCACCATGTTGGCCAGGCTGGTCTAGAACTCCTGACCTCGGATGATCCACCCACCTCGGCCTCTTCAAAGTGCTGGGATTACAGGCATGAGCCACCATGCCGGGCCTGACCTAGGGTTTTCTAGGTATATGATCATATCATCAGCGTTACTGCACTAGTTTGACTTCCTCTTCTCCAGTTTGGATGCCCTTTATTTCTTTATCTCACCATTGCTCTTTGGTTGTGTAAGAGTGTGTTGCTTAATTTTCACAAATTTGTGAATTTTCCAGTTTTCCATCTATTACTGATTTCTAACTCCATCCCATTGTGGTTAGAGAAAATACTTAGTACAATACATCTTTTTAAATCGTGTTGGCCGGGCTCGGTGGCTCTCACATGTAATCCCAGCACTTTGGGAGGCTGAGGCAGGTGGATCACCTGAGGTCAGTCAGGAGTTTGAGACCAGCCTGGCCAATAAGGTGAAGCCCTGTTTCTACTAAAAATGCATAAATTAGCCAGGCTTGGTGGTGCACCGCTGTAATCCCAGAGACTTGGGAGGCTGAGGCAGGAGAATTGTTTGAACGTGGAAGGCAGAGGTTGCAGTGAGCCGAGATTGCACCACTGTACTCCAGCCTGGGCAACAGAGTGAGACTGTGTCTCAAATAAATAAATAAATAAATAGAATGAGACTGTGTCTCAAATAAATAAATAAATAAAATCTTGCTCCAGAGCCTGGGCTAAATAGTAAAAAGAGGGTGTGAATGCAGTTAAGACCCGTATATGTCTGAAATTTTTGTACATGTTCATTTTGTACCCTTCACCTTCAAAATTAGTAACAGATGGCTGCACTTTCTCAAGGGATCTCTTGTGGCTTTTCAATCTCAATCATCCACTTAGGGGACATTTACAAAGCAAGAGGTTTAAGTCCCCCCACCTTTTTTTTTTTTGAGATGGAGTTTTGCTCTTGTTACCCACGCTGGAGTGCAATGGCACAATCTTGGCTCCACAACCTCTGCCTCTCAGGTTCAAGCAATTCTCCTGCCTCAGCCTCCCAAGTAGCCCGGCCTAAGTCCTCGTTTTCTTAATGGGGACTTTCTTAGTGGAAATTGAAATTAGAGATTATTCATATAAGCTGGGCTTAACATCTTTTTTTTTTTTTTTTTTTTTTTTGAGATGGAGTTTCACTCATGTTACCCAGGCTGGAGTGCAATGGCGCAATCTCGGCTCACCGCAACCTCCGCCTCCTGGGTTCAGGCAATTCTCCTGCCTCAGCCTCCTGAGTAGCTGGGATTACAGGCACACGCCACCATGCCCAGCTAATTTTTTGTATTTTTAGTAGAGACGGGGTTTCACCATGTTGACCAGGATGGTCTCGATCTCTTGACCTCGTGATCCACCCGCCTCGGCCTCCCAAAGTGCTGGGATTACAGGCTTGAGCCACCGCGCCCGGCCTTAACATCTTTTTTTACCTACAGTTGGGGTAGAGCTCCAGGGAGCTGGTTTTGTCCCCCTGTCTTGTCCCCTCCCCCTTTTAATTAACTAAGGTCTGGCTGGACTCAATCAACATGCAGGCCGCTTTCTAAGAGCAGCAGTTACTTTGGCAGCATTCAGAAGGCCCGAGTTACTCAACCATGACAAATTGCTCAGTCCTTCACCATTCACTTCCTAAAACTCATTTTTAGAATGGGATCTTCGTGGCGTTTCTGATTAGCAATGCTCCTGAAATTTCCTCAGCATGTGGAAAGGCCATAGATGAATTCAAGCACATTAAAGAAGACTTATGCAGGGGTGTTAGGGAAACCTGACCCAAGAGTGCACAGTGCCCTGCTGTTTAGGAGCTGACCTTGCTGTGAGCAGGGGAGGGGCAGCGAGGTGATTGGGCTTCAAGCATCTTTTCAACTCGAGAGCCCTGCATTCCTTACCCTTGGTGGGATTCTTCCCGGGCTGGGAGAAATGACTGCTTCTGCGAGGATACCATGTGCCAAGGTCATGTCCTAGGAAGTCAGTTGCTGTGAGAAATGACCAGTGTCATATCTACCTTTCAGCCACCCTACATCATGCAGCAGTTCTGCCGAGATCATGTCTGTGCTGTTCTTCTACATCATGAGGTACAAGCAGTCAGATCCAGAGAATCCAGACAATGACCGATTCGTCCTCGCAAAGGTATGCTGGCTGGGAGCCCAGGGCTGCTGCGGCACTTGCTTCTTAAGCCCAGTTTGAACAGACACTGTGTGGGAACAAGGCCTGGAATGGGCCTTGTTGATCATTTTGATTTTTCTTTCATTGCATCTTAATGCTGTAGGGTTCTAGACCCTAGGAACCATGTGATGGCTTGGTAGGAAGGGTGGCTTGGTAGAGCTGGTGGCCCTTCCTTTCCTTTGTCATACCCTGCCTCGCCCCCCCACCACAAAAGCTTTCCCTGTGGCACAGTTACGCTGCTCCCACCCTCTGTGCTGCCTGAGTAGAGGCAGGCAGCCTCAGTGGATCTGACTGTGAGCTGGGGTACATGGAGTGTGACTGGGAGGGACATCCTACCCGTCAGTCAGTGTCCTCTCCCATGTCTTTGTAGATCTGACCTGAAACTGATGGGGTACTTCTTATTAGATTGGGCACAATACCAGCCACCTCATGATGCTGGGGGGTAGGAAAGAAAAAGAACCTTAAAAACAAGGTCAGTCTGAGAGTGTGTGCCTGGTTTGATGCCATCTGAAAGTACACTGTGTCCTGAAGCAAATTAAAACCTGGCTAGGGTCTGGGCACAGTGGCTCATGTCTGTAATCCCAGCACTTTGGGAGGCTGAGGCCAGCGGATCACTGGAGGCCAAAAGTTTGAGACCACCCTAGTCAACATAGCAAAACCCCATCTCTACTAAAAAATAAAAAATACAAAAAAATTACCTGGGCATGGTAGCCTATGCTTGTAATCCCAGCTACTTGGGAGGCCGAGGCACGAGAATTGTTTGAACCCGGGAGGCAGAGGTTACAGTGAACGGAGATCGTGCTCCTGCATTCCACCATGGGTGATAGAGTGAGACTCCATCTCAAAGGAAAAAAAGAAAAGAAAAGAAAAATCTGGCTGGGGAGAGTACTGTGTCCAAATAGAAGTACCAGATTAGCAGAGTGGGAAGTAAAGACAAAAATCAAACTGTGGGCATGGCTGAAGCGCCTGCAGGTCATAATTGTGACCATTATCTTGGTGTCTGAACCATAATGTCAAACGGTTTGGCAAATAGTAAATAGAAATGACGTGTGTGGAGAGATGAAGTAAATGCTTTCCATTGCTTTCAGCTGGTTATTGGAGGTAAGCAGTATAGAGTAAGGAATTCATGTGCTAGTCTTTAAACATGTCTATAAACTTGAACTTTCTTTACATCTTTTTTTTCCTTTTTGTGGGGAGACAGAGTCTCGCTCTTGCCCAGGCTGGAGTTCAGTGGCTCTGTCTCAGCTCAATACAGCCCCGACCCCCGGGCTCAAGCGATCTTCCCACCTCAGCCTCTTGAGTCAGTGGGACTACAGGCACGCACCACCATGGTTAGCTAATTTTTCTATGTTTTGTAGAGATGAGGTCTCATTATGTTGCCCAGGCTGGCCTCAAACTCCTGGGCCCACCCTCCTCTGCCTCCCAAAGTGCTGGGATTACAGGCAACAAGCCACTGCTCCCAGCCCCCATCACAATGAAAATATAAAAAATTAGATGTATAAATGCAATGTGGGTGTTCAGATTTCTGGTTTAAAATAAGGAAAGACTGGGTACAGTGGCTCTCACCAGTGCTTTGGGAGGCTCCAGTGGGAGGATCGCTTGAGACCAGCCTGGGCAACATAGCAAGACCCCAATCTACGAAATATATGAAAATTAGTTGGTCTTGGTGGTGAATGCCTGCAGCTACTCAGGAAGCTAAGGTGGGAGGATCACTTGAGCCTGGGTGACAGAGCAAGACGCTGTCTCCAAAAAAAAAAAAAAAAAAAGGAAGATGTCTAGAGTTTTTAACAGCTACTATCAGAGCCATTGGCCTTAGGGGGTGAAGAGGCTTGCTGTCAGGGAGCAGCACACCAGGCACTGTTCGGCTGCCAGAATTGTGTGTTCACCAGATTGAGCTGGCAGATAAAATTGGAACAAAAGGGAAAACACAGGAAGCATAGTCCATTGTGGTTTGCCTAGGAACGGGGTAAACAGCCATACTACAGGCAGAGCAGATCTTTATTCTAGTCCTTCACCTCCCAGAATTACCTCTCCCCACAGCATAAGGGTTCTTGAGAAAGACAACAACACCTACGTGGGAGAACTTCTGCCATAACAGACATCATACTGATGCCTCGCCAGTCTCTCTCATCTAGCCTCACTTTATCCTTAACCTCCTGCCACCTGAGGGGGCTCTGGTTTCCACTGCACCCATAAAGTCTTTGAGATGGGCCCGCTGGTCTCACACTTCACAGCTAGAGGGAAGCAGAGTTGGTCTGACTGCTGAGCCCAGACTTGGCCCATTATGTTACAGAACTTCCAAGGGCATGCAAGGCACCTGGGAGCCAGAGCTTGCTGCATGAATGAGGTGGGCACCATAGGGAGGCAGATGGGGCTAGAGACGTGGTCAAAAGAGACTTGAGTGGGACAGCTCTGCTGGGCTGTAAATGCAGAACCAAAAGGGAGTCTCGGGGAGGGGGGGCACAAAGCATGCAGAGAATGCCGGGGAAGGTCAAGAGCACCCAAGGAGTAGCAGAGGGTAGGAAGTAAGGAGCAGGAGATCTGAGAATCATAAGTAGCATCCACCCATCTACAGTAGTGATGACCCCACTCATTTCTGATCAAATGGTGCTGGTGTTTGAGCAGAGGAGGGCGACAGGCAAGAAACAAACTTGTAAGTCAATAGATAAGTGTCAGGTGGAGCCAAGCATCTGGGATCAAGTAAAAGTGGAAGAGGTAGGCACTGGTTGAAAAAGAATGGTCCTGAAAACCTCAGTGCTGACGCTTGAGCAGGGATTTGGAAGGGGCAGGAGAGTGAGCTGTGCCCATATCCAGGCACGAGCACTCAGGTAGTGGCTGCCATGAGTACTAAGGCCCTGAGGCAGGCATTTGCCCACTTCATTCAAGGAGCAGCAGGAGGCCAGGATGTCGGAGCAGTGGGAGGGAGAGATGGAGCTGATGGGGGATGGGTGGGGAGACAGGTGTAAAAAGTTGAGCTCTAGTTGGTGGGAGGTCGGAAGACCTTGGATAGTTAACCGAGATGGATGTGATGGGTCACCTTCAGTTTTAACAGGCACACCCAGTGGCTAGATTGAGAATGGCTGTAGGGGAGGCTGGGAGGCCACTGCAGTGACCAGATGCCAGGGATGTTCAAGACCAGGTGGAAAAGGTGGCTGCAGAAGCTGTTGGGTAAATTCACTGTGCTTGCGAGTTGGGTCTCTCCCGTCAGTGCAGCAGCTCTTTGGCATGACCTTGTGGCCCACAGAGGGTCACATTTTCTGCTTGGGACAATGATGACCCTGTGCCTGCAAACAGGATGTTGGGAGTGGGGTAGAATGCTGGTGGAAAGGGATTAGTTTGAGGCATGGGCACTTCCAGATGACCACTTGTAAGATCTCAGTTAGCGATGAATCTGCACTGACATATCAATCACCCAAGAATCCACAGTTTATTTTAGCATTCACATTTGATTGTTGCACAATCTGTGAGATTAAACAAATGTTGAATGACATGTACCACTATAGAATATTATACAAAGAAGTTTCTCTGACTTACAAGTTCTCTGTGCTCTGCCTATTCATCCCTATCTCTTCCCTAATACCTGAAAACCACTGATTTTTAAAAATATTTATTTATTTTGATTAACTGATCTTTTCTCTGTGTCCATAGTTTTGGTTTTTCCAGCATGTCATGGTTGGAATTACCCACTATGTACTTTTTTCAGATTGGCTTCTTTCACTTAGTAATATACATTTAACTCCACATCTTTTCATGGTTTGATAGTTCATTTATTTTTAGTGCTGAACAGTATTACATTATCTGGATGTATCACAGTTTGTTTATCCAGTCACATATTGAAGGATATCTTGGCTACTCCCAAGTTTTGGCAACTATAAATAAAGCTTCTATAAACATCAAAAAACAAACAAAAAATCTCAGTTGACCTGAGTTTTACAAACCAGGGAACCAGAATATTCTGTTTCCGGTTTCTGTTTAAGAACCTATATCCAGGCCGGGCGCAGTGGCTCACGCCTGTAATCCCCAAACTTTGGGAGTGCGAGACGGGCAGATCATGAGGTCAAGAGATCGAGATCATCATCCTGGCCAACATGGTGAAACCCCGCATCTAATAACAATACAAAAACTAGCTGGACGTGGTGTTGCACACCTGTAGTCCCAGCTACTCAGGAGGCTGAGGCAGGAGAATCACTTGAACCTGGGAAGCAGAGGTTGCAGTGAGCTGAGATCGCACAACTGCACTCCAATCTGGGTGACAGAGTGAGACTTCGTCTCAAAAACAAAAATGAAAAAAAAGAACCCATACCCTCCATAGGATTAAACATCTGATTTGTACATGACTGGGAATGACCATGGGACAATGGCAAGAATCAGACCTTACGTTTCTGCTTTGCACTTAGGCACACCTTCTCTATTCCTCAAGCTCCACCCACCCCTGCCATACCGTATGCATTACCTATGACTCCCTAGGCAGGGACATGGATGTCTTCGTCATCTTAGTCACCCCAGTTTCCAGTCCAGACTGAGCCCTGGGCTCGACCCATTGTCCCTGGTAACATTGATCTGAAGCTTGGGGTGCATGTGGGTGGGGTGAAGAAGAACTCACCCAGTGGGGGGGAGGGGCTGTTGGTTCGGGGCTCTGCCGCACAGCTGACATGAGCAGTCTGTGCTCAGTGTGTGAGTCCACCTGATACCATGTCCTGCAGCTGCATCTGGGTTCACTGGGTCACTTCTCTTAACAGAGACTGTCATTTGTGGATGTGGCAACAGGATGGCTTGGGCAAGGACTGGGAGTTGCGTGTGGAATGGCATATACTGGCAAGTACTTCGACAGGGCCAGGTATGGCATTTACCTAGAGCCATTTAACTGCCCTGCATCCCCCTTCCTAGAGTCTCGAGATAGCCACCTATCTCCGTGGAGCAGTGAGCCCTGAAGGGCCAGTCCCCATCACATCCTGTGCTGACCCCTCTGGAAGGCGCCTTCCCTTTGCCTCCTCAGATGGCTGTCCCACTCCCCCACCCACAGGTCTGTTTAAAGATTTCAGCTGCTCTTGCCTTTCCGTTCTTTTCCTAGGGTGGATAGCTTTTTTAAAACTTCCGGCATGTTAGTGGGGGCTTGGATGTGTGGGGTTTTTTGTTTTTCTTTCTTCTTTTTTTTGACAGAGTCTTGCTCTGTGGACAGGCTGGAGTGCAGTGGCACCATCTTGGCTCACTGCAACCTCCGCCTCCCAGTTTCAAGCGATTCTCCTGCCTCAGCCTCCCGAGGAACTGAGATTACAGCCATGCACTACCATGCCTGGCTAATTTTTATATTTTTAGTAGAGATGGGGTTTCGCCATCTTGGCCAGGCTGGTCTCGAACTCCTGACCTCAGGTGATCCTTCTGCCTCGGCCTCTCGAAGTGTTGGGATTACAGGCGTGAGCCACTGCACCTGGCCAGGTGTGTTTTCTTGATGCAAACACTCAATATCGTTGGTTGTGGAGGAGTTTATTTCATAGCAGAACATGTTCCCAAGGTGGGATTTTTGATTGTTGTGATTATTTTAAATAAGTTGTAAGATCAGAACTAGAAGGGGGCAGCCGGGCACTGTGGCTCACGCCTATAACCCCAGCACTTTGTAATCCCAGCACTTTGGGAGGCTGAGGAGAGCAGATCACCTGAGGTCAGAAGTTCAAGACCAGCCAGGCCAACGTAGTGAAACACCCCATCTCTTAAAGTACAAAAATTAGCCGAGCATAGTCTTGCAGGCCTATAATCTAAACTACTCGGGAGGCTGAGGCAGGAGAATTGCTTGAACCCAGGAGGTGGAGGTTGTGGTGAGCTGAGATCACGCCACCGTACTCCAGCCTGGGTGACAGAGCGAGACTCTGTCTCAAAAAAAAAAAAAAAAAAAAATCTTAGAAGGTGGCAATGCTGTAAAAGGAAACTTGGCAGGAATTTGAATGTGTAAGTGTTCGGGGGACTTAAGGGGGCTGCTTTCTTCCCCTTTCATTTGGCCCTGTTTGCTGGTTGATGAGGAAATGCAGAAGAACTTGAAAGTTGCTTTACAGCTAGAATGAGAAAACTATAGCCAAAGACAAAGCCTGATTGTGAGGCCCAGGCTTTCCACGCTTGGCTTCCTTAGCTGCCAGGTTGGGGCAGAGTTGATGAGGAAAATTGCGCTGGGAAGCCAATGATCTGGAGCAGCCCCTCCAGTTGCTTCCATTTCTCCTGAAATGCATTTGCTTGGTTGGTCCAGATGAGCCCCCGCAGGGTCCTAAACCTCTCTTCTCTTGCTCCAGCTACCGGGTGTTCTGCCTCATGAGTGACGGCGAGTCCTCAGAAGGCTCTGTCTGGGAGGCAATGGCCTTTGCTTCGTACTACAGTCTGGACAATCTCGTGGCGATCTTTGATGTGAACCGCCTGGGACACAGTGGTGCGCTGCCCTCTGAGCACAGCATAGACATCTATCAGAGGCGCTGCGAAGCCTTCGGGTAACTGTATTCTATGGTGCTTGATTTCCATTCTGTCCCACCCCCTTCATCTCTTGTAATGCAGCCTGCTCCTCTGTTGGCAGGTGGAACACTTACGTGGCGGACGGCCGGGACGTGGAGGCACTGTGCCAGGTGTTCTGGCGGGCCTCTCAGGTGAAGCACAAACCCACTGCTGTGGTGGCCAAGACCTTCAAGGGCCGGGGCACACCAAGTAAGCAAGCGTTTTCTTCCTGTCCGCTCAGCAGAAGAGACAGGAGAGGCCTAGCCGGGTCTAGGCGGATGGCTGATTTAGTGAATGCACTTCTGCCCGAGTATATGCTAGAGGCTCCTGCTCCCTTCTTTCCACTAGCTAGTGTCTGCTTAGGATAGGAGGGGACATCAAAAGCCCTAGCAGGTGAATAGTGATGTTTTATCTGCACGAGGGAGTGGCTAGGAGTACAGCCCATCAGAGGACTGATGAGGAACAGTCTCTACGGTTATAGAATCAGAAAGGGTTCTGTGTGAGCAGGTGCAGAAATCAGAGTGTGCATACGGACACACATGCCTAGACCCACACCATCTGGAAGAACCCTGGGAGCTGGGGAAGAAGGGAGCTTGGAATAACCAACTAGCACATTTCAAGGCTGACAGCTGAAATTGTTTATCTCAAGCTTAACTCATTACAAAGAGTGTGATTCCTGGTTTTTTTCAAAAGACTATAGACATTTTAGAATAAAACTGTTCTGACTCCTCCCGAAAATATAGTTTTACTCTGGTACCTTCTGTTCAGTAAATGATTTTACCAGTGTGCACCTGGCAGAACCCTGGGTCTTGTCCTTGCCTCTGCCTCCCCTCATGCCCACACACACACCCAGTACCCTAGCTTGCATCTTGGATCCATTCCCTCCTCCGCATCTCTACTCCCATGATGCCACACGTATCATCTCTCCCAAAGTTCCAGTCAACCTCCCTCCACAGCAGTCTCTACACTGCTGCCACAGTGATCTTTCTATACTGGATCTCATCAGTCACTTTCCCCACTGCAGACCCTTCAGTGGTTTCCAGTCTTGCTTTGGATGAAACTCAAACTCCTTATACCCACAAGACCCACCCTCCATGGTTGGCCATACCTGTCTCTCCAGGCGTGTCTTCTCATTCTCACTTCCACTCACCAGTGGCCCTCAGGGGCATAGCTAGGTGCGGTGGCTTGCACCTATAATCCCAGCTACTTAGGAGGCAGAGGCAGGAGGATCACTTGAGCCCAAGGAGTTGGAAGCTGTGGTGAGTTATGATCACACCACTGTACTCCATCCAGCCTGGGGAATCATAGCGTGAGACCCCCATCTCAAAACAAAACAAAAAGCCTCAGGGCCTTTATCCAAGCTATTTTCTCTGGCTGCACCAGCATCCCAGGCCTTCTGTGCCAGGTCCTCCTGGGAGTCCTAAGATGACGTCTTTTTCAGGTGACCTCATTGGCACTCATCAAACATTTATGGAATGGGCTGGGCCCAGGCACTTTGGGAGACCAAGGTGGGTGGATCACGAGGTCAAGAGATCAAGACCATCCTGGTCAACATGGTGAAACCCCATCTCTACTAAAAATACAAAAAATTAGCTGGGCATGGTGGTGTGTGCCTGTAGTCCCAGCTACTCAGGAGGCTGAGGCAGGAGAATTGCCTGAACCCAGGAGGCAGAGGTTGCAGTGAGCCGAGTACACTCCCGCCTGGGTAACAAGAGCGAAACT